GGAGCTACGGTCATTCTGAGGCCATTTTGGCCAGATATAAATTCGTCGTTTTCTCGTTCTGTCTTTCTTTCTCTCTCTTTCTGTTTTCGGGGAGAATGATGCGCGGATGATCAAAGAGAAAATATTTATGGGCACGTTTCCCTAAAAATAAAAGGGTCGTCGTCGTCGTGGAATAATTCAGAGCGTCTGAAACAGGGGTTTTTCGATTTCGGGGGGGGGGGGCTATTGGTTACGAAGGATACGTCAATTTTCCCATAAAAGGATGGGGATACAGGTGATGGAAGAGAGAATATCAGAAAAGGAAACAGGTGGAGAGTTGGGTTTACATTGTTGTAAAAAGGTCATTAAAGTCTTTTGGAAGAGAGTGAGGGAAAGCGAGAGAGAGATAGAGAGGGAGAGGGAGAGGCAGTGATAAAGAGAGCGAGAGATATAGAGCGAGTGAGTCAGAGTGAGAGCTAGTTAGAAAAAGAGGGACACAGAGATAGAGAGAGAGCGACTGAGAGGGAACGAGGGATAGCGAGAGAGCGAGATACCTTCATTTTCACATTCCTTAAAGGAACCTGCAAGGCAAACTTCCTATAGATTTGGGCGTGCCCCTGGCACGCAGCTCGCATTTCCATAGCGTAACCAATTCCTCTTTCCCGCGTTCCACAGTGGCCCGGCTCCTAATACAACGTCCGGTAGCTTTGGTAAGGAGGGAAGACCGCAACGCGTGTGTCAGACGCGTCGTGCAATTGCGAAAGCAGGCCTGCGCAGCTAAAAACCGGTTGCTATTCCGCGCACCCGCACGCAACGCGCGAAAAACACGAAACCCTTTCCCTTGAACCAGCTGGACGGAACCCATGGGCGGTTGTGGTTCCGTGTCACGACCCCGGAAAATTCATCCATCTAAACGCTATTCCATTCCAATTTTCCTGAAATTCTTATAAAAATCCTATAGACCAAAGTCCGGATTAACTTCCAGGAAATATTTTTACACCTCCGGCCCAGTCTACGTATACGCACGACACAATAGAACGCACCGGGTTTCGGCCCCTATTTTGCGGATTATCATAATCCCACCAAATCTATTCGTCCTTTGTCCCGATTCCATGTTGCATAGAGTTTAGCAAAAGAATAGAGGCCCGTCTTGGCATTTCGGACCACCGAGATTAGGGCCCTGATCATGGAAAGATTATCTAGATTTACATAAATAATTTTTCTCCCGTAAAACGGCACGGTCCTATGATAAAATATTATCCATTTAATGGGCAGTTGACGCAGTTTTTTAGAAATAGAAAGCTCACAAAAATTATAAAAATTTTCGAAAGCCTTGACTTTTTCGACAAAATGGATACGACAAATATATTAATTTTTCAAATATTAAAAACTATTTAAAATATTTTTGTAACTTTTCGGCAAACAAAAATTAGTCCGTGATTATCTCGAATTCACGTGTTTTGCTCATGTCGCATTTTGTGCAAAAATTTGCGCGCTCTCTCTGCGCTTCCGGTTAGCACATCCATTAGACCTGGTCAACATCCCTTTTCGCAGCGATTCCAAGCATTTTCTTTGACCCAAATCTTTATACGTCCCATAATTCGAATATTTCAAATTTAAGCATTCAAAAAATCTCCGGAATTCGCTGCTCCTGTCATCGCAGAAAAAACTGGCGCTTTTTTTCGAAAAACCTTATCAGCTGGCGGCTATTTCAAGCTAGTTTAGCGCTTCCGGTGGTGTGTAATACCCGGGTTTAGCACCTAGCATCAGCAAATGTTAGCTGGCGATGTGACTAATGAGATCAATAAAATTGCAGAACGCCCAAATATTTTATGCTAATTTGTGTTGATTAAAAAAACAGAAAAGGGCTTTTTGAAACAACCACAATGTGTCAACATTAACCTTAAAAAATTTTTAAATTTGGATTAGCTTAAAAGCTTAATAAACTCCAAAATAAAGATACACAAAAATAAGGTTTTAGTAATTAGTTTATTATTTATTCTGCATTTTTAGAGGCTTCTGGAGGAAATTTGGCTTAATTTTTTTAAAGGAACCATCATGGCAAAATTCGGAATTTAGCCAATTTTGCCTCCCGCTCAATTTTACCCCGGTACAACCCTCTGCAAAAAAATCGTGTAACAGCGGTGAACCTCGCTTTTTGGCCCCTTATCACCCATTCTGCGAAATCTAGATAACCACAACGTGTTAAAGTACAAAGTCGCGATGCTCCAAAATTCGCGCGCAAAAATAGCGACCCTAGTGTATTTTAGGCGCCTCATTTTTCACCGCCCTGCCTACGTCCGCTCAAAAATGCCGAAGAAGAGTAGCTGCAATTGGAAGAAGCAGCTGGAGGGGTCTGAAAGGGGAAATAAAAAAATGGGATATATAATTATGCGGCTGCTTTGGGTCGAGGGGAAAGAAATCCGGGCCTGAACTGTGTGGGTTCAAAAAAGTGTGGTGATGTACTTTATGTGTGGGTTGGATCTGTGGTTACAATGGGGGACGGGGGATGATGTTTGATAGTAAATGGGTCTTATGTTAATTAAAATGGAGATCAAGGATAGGGTTGAAATTAATTAAAAAAGCAAGAGTACTTGGGACAATGGCGGGGTTTCAATTTCTTTTGCAAAAAAAACGAGTTTAAAATGACTCACCTCTTTATAAAGCGTTAAGGTTCTATTTCATCGAAAAACATTTTGCTTAGATTTTGCCTATCGAAAACTATTTTCTCAGAATTCGAATTTTTCGCAATTTTGACGTCTTTTTGCTACCGTCTATCTTAAACGTTTCGCAAATTATAGCACATTTAAATTTTGACAAAACGATATTCAACAAAGTGTCATTTCGACAAAATGAAATTTCAAAAAAAAACGATGTCACAAAACAATGTTCCGACAAAATAAATTTCCCCATAAAATGTGATGCAACTGAAATTTTACTAATGTGAATTTAGAACTTTCCATGCCATAAAAGCGTAGCGCATCTTTTACGTCAAGCTTCCCAAGTAACCAAGGTGAATCTGGAACACTCCCCGAATTCCCAGAAAATTCCCACCCTCCTGCGCCACGCAAAAAAGGCAATTACGCATCAAAATCCGGCTTGTTTGTACGGGTGGCTAGAGTCGAGGGGGTATCCAGGCGAATCGCCAACAAAAATTACGTAAGTATCCGTTCCCCTGTTGCACCACCCAACATCACGTAATTTTCATAAATCCTGGAAATTCTAGCGTCCTACGGTACCCTCGCAAACATCGGGGGTTAAAATTGGATTCCGGCGGTCTAGGGCATTCCAGAACGCGGCTACGTGATTTCCGGGGCGGGCACCGTACCCGGATTTGGCGGAGTGTCGCGGAATTTTTTTGGGAGGGTTGAAAAATGTGGACATGATGTGCTTTGGCGCGTCAGACCGGGGGGAAATAATCGAAATAATAATCGGCGGACAATTTGTTTATCCAGTCTACGTGTGTTCCGTGTTCAATAGGGAAGCCGACTACGGTAGAGCTGGGCGGATTGTGACGGAATTCGGGAGGGAACTGGGAACTGGAAAAAGGGTTTCGAGGAGTTGAATTTTGGTTTGTTTTGGGTTTAGGGTTTCTCTATCAATGAGTTCATGTATTTGTCGAAATTTATAATGCGGAAATTCATAATTTCGAAATTACATGATTTCGACATTTGAATATGTCGATGTTTTTTGCATCGGATTTGTTTCGGAAAAATCGCTGAACAAAAATGTAGTATTAGAATTTTTAATATCTCTTTTTCTTACTCATTTGCAGCCCAAAAAAACTGGGAGCTTCCGTCTTGATTCGTTTTTATCAGCTCCTGCTCATTTTCAAAGAGATCACGCTCCTGGCAAGCTTCCAAAACCTCCAAAACCGGAGATCCACATCAACCTTCCTAATCTACTCGATTCCTGACCTCAAGGCCTGAGCTACGCAAAGCAGCCCATGTAATGGATACCCCAGCCAGCCACACAACGCACAAAATCTCATCAAAAACCCTGACTAACCCCTTCCCGTTTGCTGGAAATAGGCCAAATTTAATATTCTGGTCCCCTCAGCAGCGCCATCGACTACGTAGCAGACCCCGATAATAGATTTAGCCGGCTGGAAAGGAAGTAAAGACCCATGGAGTTTGGGTACCCTAAATGTCAATTCAGCGCTGCGGTAAAGGGTGAATTAGCGGGCTGCTAAAATGTAGTTCCGCTAGAGTACGATGGGTTCTGCTAAAGGGAAGTGGTTAGCAGGAGGAACTTACAGGTTATGATTTTTCTAACGACGGTAAAAAGGGTAAAGCCGGGATACTGTATAGTGCTAATTTTTCTATATTTCCGAAGCAAATTTTGAGGTATATGCGTCAAATTGAAAATGTTTGTTAGCAAATTTAGAGCTCTAAAGAAGTAATCAAACGTAACGGTATAAATTTCCAGTTTCCAGTTTATTTCTTATTTTAGCAAAAATTTTCACGTTTTCGATTATAGCATCTGTAATTTTTACTCAATTGGTAGATTTTTCTCTAGAGTTTCAGGTTTCAGATACGCTTGGTGAGTGCCATTTAATTTACTCTAATAGTTTAATCTATTTTTACGTAAATTCAAGCTTTTGAGCCTCCAAAATAGGAAATAAAATATTCATTTTGTACCTTGTCTGCCCGTTTCGTGCTAATTTTTGTCGCACTATCACGCATCTCGGGAATTTGTGTCTGATCATACCCGAGCTCTGATTTGTCCCTATCATCAACCTGCGCCCTTCCCGCGCACTTTTCGTTTCCCAGACTGTAGAAAAAAAATTAAAGGGAGCTAGCTCGCAGGCTGTGATGCAGAACACACGCCCCGCCCTTTTCTCGCCTTTTCCTTCCCAAGCACGCCGCCCTTCAAGCCACGCCCCCATCCGGCACACGCCCAAAATTTTGCCGCCCCTATATAACCGGGCGTCTCGTCCTGGTAGGGCTGAACCCGTTTCACAAACCGCAAACGAACTACCACTCATACTCTACCTTAAACCCTTCGCCTCCAAATCTCCTATGATCGCCGAATTCCCGCTACCCGAGGAGATCGAGCTTTTGCACTCGAAGCCGGCTTTCGCCTTCGCTCAGGCTTTTCGCCTGCCCGCTTCATTCTCCGCGCCTCCGACGCTCTTTTCGAGCAAGCTGGAGAACCCAATTGGTGAGTTTTATCAAGATTTTTATGTAAAAGTATATTTTTCAAAGCTCAAGTTTTACAAAACATTCTTAAAGCTCAAATTACCCCCTTATTTCCAGATCTCCGCACACCACTCCGAGAAGCACGATCGTTGAATCTGCAGAAATCTTCTTGGTGTCCGGCAAAATCTACAAGCCGACCTTCGATGCTGTCCGTTCTCGCATCAAACCTTCCTCGAGCCATGCCGATGCTTCAACGGTTATAATGCTGAGCTTAAGCCTAAGCCAAGCCTACGCCTGAGCCAAGCTCTCCTTTCTCCCCCTCCCTCATTTCTTCTAGCTTAGCCCATCCCCCCCCCCTTGATTCATTTTCCTGCCTGTATATATCGCTTTGTACAGCCTAATTTATTTGGTGTTTTTCCTTATGCTTTAAATCGGAATCTAGTCATCCAACCCCTTTGATCTCTTGCTTCATTTTCTCTCTCCCACGCAATTTCCGCGCCATTCGGGTACTCATTTTCCGCAATACGAGGTGATCTCCCCCAAGTCGCATTTGGCTTGCATGTGCTTTAAACTTGGATTTGAATTTTTGTCGTCGATAAAGACGTTTGTTGAAGAATTTCGAGAATTCACACTGAGATTTCCACACATTGCATGGGATAGTTATAAACAGCGGCGTAGTATTTATAGGGATGAGGCTGAAAATAGATATGGGTACTTGGTAAAAATAGATCTTGGGATCGGGATGGATAAACAACACTACTTTTGAGGTATTTGGTAATTTTGTCAAATGACTTGGGGAAGCAAAGTTACAGATGTACTCAAAGTCTATTTTTAATCCGTAATATGCAGAGAGCTATTGGTACTAGGCTGTTAGCAGGGGGGAATTTTTAGGAGAGGAGCACCAATTTTTGTCCTTCCCTCTAAATCTAAATCATCAAAAGTTAATTTTTTAATCTTTTTGTGATTTTTGTCGTGGCGGGAAAGCTACAAGAATATTTTAAACAATTCGGAAAACTGGAAATTTCGGCATTTCTTGGTGATTTTCGTACTACAGCAACTAAAATACAGTAAGTTTCGTCAATACTGTAGCTTGTAGTCTACAAAGCTACAAGCTACAGATTTCACTGCTTGTTATTGCGTAGTATTATATCATTAATACCTGCGCGTACTCTGGGTCACAAAATCCATTCAAAGTCCGACCACAAGATCACAATTTCACCTCGACCAAATACCAATATCCCCCCACATCAGAGCGCTGCTTTCTTCTTTCTCTCTTTCTTTCCATCAACTTACTTTCTCTATCCATCCCCACCCGCAAATCCCTTTCCTACACACTCCAAAGCACATCGCAGCCAAATCACAAAAATCGTCGTCGTGTGCCGGTCGAACCGCGTAGATATCTCAGCTAAACGGCTACGCTATGACGCGGCGGGGGTGGAGGTGCTGAAAAATTAATGGGACTGTGCGATGGGCGCATCATTATATGCAAATGGGGGTCGAAAACACGGGGGATGCATCATATTTGGGGTATCCTAGGGAATTCGGTGGGTATAAATGGGGGTTGAAGGATGAGATTCCGGCATTTTTGCCTTGCGTTTTTGGAGTTAAGCTTAGGTTTCCAATCGGTTCTACGAGCGTTTTATTTGCTTCTATCCCGATATTTTCTAGTTATTTTATTTAATACCTTTAAATTAATTCTGTGGTTGCGCAACAAGGCCATAGACGTTAAATTCCGGACAAGCTTCAATTTCTCGATACTGGATGGTTAGCAGTGGAAGACTAATTTTCCCAGAATAACAAAATATCAACCAATTTCTTACATTTTGCACAGTTTTTAAATAAAAAAGCTCATAAAATAACTCATATAAATTTTCGAAACTTATCAAAAATTTATGAAAAATGATCACAAAGCTCCCGATTTCGAATTTTGCAAGGTTTTTTCAGATCTTTTTGGAACTTTCTCGCAATTGAAAACTACGAAAGACAGCATAAAAATACGTTATTTATTCTTAATAGGTCGATATAGACGGAAAATGAAAATTGGTTCCCCCCTGCTAACGGTCCAGTACCCTGTTGAAATCATGCATTTTCCTTACTCACTACCCTCCTACACTGTATCTTCCTCACATTCATTCAAAATCATGTTTTTCACCTTCGCTTTTTGCTCGATTCACCTTACTTGACCCCCCGGTGGTACTCCGCTTAGTTTTCCGGTGGCCCCAAAAACAAAACTAAACTCGCAAAACCACCAGCAAAAAATGGGCGACACCTTTGCTAGAAAGCCACTACAGAATAACAAAGTTGACCGGAGAAAAGAAGGGGGATGAATATCAGACACCACTACACTAACCACCCACCCAAAACATGAGTCTTCAGTTAATCCGACCCGGAGAGGACCCAGAACTCTCTCGATTCCCCGACTAGATCAAGCCCCGGATTTGGGGAGCATCACCCGATTCTCAAAAATCGCCATATCATATTCTTAATCCGGCGGGTGGAGCCCACGTATTACTGGCAGCGTTTAATCCGGATGCATGGCTTTTGTGAGGGTGGGGGGGGGGGGGAGGACCAGGTGGGGAAAACAGGAACGCCTACGGTAGTTTAGTAGATCAACGACAGGAATGAGAATAACGAAAGGGAATGAACAGTAAAAAGTAAGCTGAAAGCTTTTAAGACCTTATAAAGCTTATGTTAAATCTCCAACATCCAACAATGTAAACAATGTAAAACTTTAACTACTCTAATAAGCCAACAAACCTCAATTCGAAATGGAGAAGATGAGAATCAAAATTGATATTTTGGTTCTTTGACATTATCGGGGGAGGTCTTTTTCTAACGGTCCAGTTTGTCAAATATAATTAGATGGGAGTTTTTAAGCGATTTTTCACTCCGTAAATTTAAAAATTTTACTAACAATAACAATACAAAAAACGTTTTTCGACTTTAAATTTGGTTTTGAAAATGTTTTAGTTTTTCCAGCTGAAATATAATTTCATTTTTCAAAAAAAAACTGTTAAAAAATTGCTATAGGCATTTCTGCAATTATAGGATAAGTTGCTTCCCCCCCCCGATAACGCGAAAGCTCCTAGCTCGTGATAAAAGTGCACCCAACGTACGACTAGTACACCCATCCAAATCACCCTGTAGAAACCAGACCCGGATTATACGACCTGCCCGCCTAGGCCATCCAGTAAAGTCGTAATTTCCGGAATTTGTGGAACCCCCTCCCCCCACTGACGATCGTCTATTCCCCGGAATAGTTCATGTTTTGCTAGTTTAAGCCTCCAAAATGGATAGTGAAATCATAATGTTTCTGGCGGAATTTGGCGTCTTTTGGGGCACTACGTACATTACCTACAGTACTCTTTATTCTTATCTTAAAAACAACGCGCCCATCCATTTCTAGTCACCAGTTCTCGAGGAGGTCAATCTTTTTTGGTTCCTGGTTGTAAACAAAATAAATGGCACCCGAAAAATACCGTAAAAAGAAGAAATCCGTGCAGAGAAACGAGGAGTTTTTTTTGGTTTGCTGCTTTGAAGGATCTGATCATAAGATGTTTACGGCACTATAGGGTGTGGGGGTTTGTATGTGGGTTCTTCTCCCTTGGGCCTGGTAGTGGTGATCAGCTGCTTTTTTCCCCTAAACGACGACGACCCTGACTGATCGGCTCTTTTTTGCCGGCCCGTACTCCACCCTGCAACCAGCCACCGGAACGTAATATTTTTGCGGGATAGGGGAAAGTGCAAAACTCAACTGCAGATCTGGGTTTTCCACCGTTTCCTGGGACATATTACTAATATTTTAAAATATAGTGCAATTTCGCAAGCGCCATTCAATGAAGCGTCAAAAAATCTCTTTAAAAAATTATTTTAAGCTCAAAAAAAGATGGATTATAACATTTTTAAATTATTTTTATCGTAAAAAAGTTATGATTCCCCCTGGTATCCCATGTGTACCGACTTCCTTATAACTTCTGGTCTAAATCTTGCTGCGACCCGTACTTGCTGGCTAAAAGCAGGCACCAAATCCGCTTCCGAAAGCTGTTTTTGCCGACACTGTACACCTTCTAACCGTTAATTTCCGCTATTCCCATTTCCGGTAACTAAAAACGAGGGCCACGGATTGGAGGAAATTCTTCAAACCACCCTCGCTCCCTCATTTCCCCAATTAGTCAGAGGAGGTATCTCCTGGATTTGAACTCGGAACTAGCATAAAAAGTGAGGAGAGAAAGTTGTTCGTCTGGTTCAAAAATGGCAAGAAAAATTTGCTTAAGATTAGTCAATATTAATTTTATGCGCTTTTTTAATAATTTAAATCTCTATTCTAAAAAATGGCTAAATCTTCACACCCGATTCTATCAACAAAAACATGGGCGTTTCCACAGGGCTCCGTTGACGCGCAAAAATGGCTGGTGACGCAAAAAACATGCTGATGCATCGGGTCAAACACCCTCTAAAAACCGCTTTTTTGTGCAATATTGGGGGTGGATATTATTTGTTATGGTTTTATCGTTTGCAACATTTTTCTTGAGTTGCAAAGTCTAGGAAGCTGCTCTGATCGCAGGGAGCGTAAAGTGGAAATAAAAAGGGTTGAACTTTTTAGTCGGTGGTATTTGAAAAGCAGCTGCTGGCGGGTGCAAAGAGAAATGTCAATTTTTTGAAGCAGGTGGGGGTGCGACGTAGGCGAGATGTTGGGAGAGCGGGGGAAGCAGTGGAACAGCCTACGGAATCATTAAAGGGGTCGAAAAGGTCGTATATGGATTTTGGTACGCAACGTGATACGCAACTACAGACGCAACGCGATACGCAACACTATGCACAACGTGATACGGAACGCAATACGCAGTGCTATGTGCAACGTGACACGCAACCAGACACGCATCACGACACGCAACGCGACACGCAACGCGACACGCAACGCGACACGCAACGCGACACGCAACGCGACACGCAACGTGACACGCAACGCGACACGCAGCACGACCAAGATGACACGTTGCTACATGAACGCGATAAGCAATGCTACCGGCAACGATATACGCAACGCGATACGCAGCGCCCAACGCAACCCGATACGCAGCGCTATGCATAACGTGCCACACTTCTCCAAAAACAACAAAAAACCCGCCTAAAAAATCCACAGTAACGTC